CATCTGTGTCTTTCGTGTGCCAGCCGTGCAAGAGGAGAGGCAGAGGAGCCGGGAGCGGGCGGAGAGCGAGGCGGAGTGCGTGGGGGGCGCCCACGAAGGCATGCCCGTGGAGAGGATCCTGGAGGCGGAACTGGCCGTCGATTCAAATACAGAGTCCTACGGCGACATGAGCATGGAGAGCTCGGTATGTGCCCTGGGCGCCGCCGCTCCCCGGCCTGGAGGCGGAGGGTGTGCTGGGGCCCCGACTCCAGCCTCAGAGCTTGTCCCGTTTCAGACCAACGACCCTGTCACCAACATCTGCCACGCGGCCGACAAGCAGCTGTTCACCCTTGTCGAGTGGGCCAAGCGCATCCCCCACTTCTCGGGCCTCACGCTGGAGGACCAGGTCATCCTGCTCCGCGCAGGTAGGGCTTTAGGCCCCTCGCTTCTCGGGACAATTGCTGGGGCTGCCACTGGAAGTTCCCCCCGGGACCCTCAATCCGCCCGAGCTGTGTCCACGCTGATGGCAGGATCGCTCACCAGGGCGGCTCTTTCTCTGGGTGACCCGCAGGCCCTCAAACTCAGAGACCCTCCCAATCCCCAGGGACAGTCTCTGTGAGTGGAGCAGTGACTCTTCCACGTGAATTTTACTGGGCTTCGCGTCTAACTTTTGAAGACAGTTCAGTCCTTTTGGTTGAGGCCCACCTGAAGCCACGCCCCATCACTGCTCTGAAATCGGAAAGTACAGACATTCCCACCTCACAGGGAGGCGCGGAGCCACCGACTTAGGCTCAGGCGTGTCCTAGATAAACCCGGGCCCTTCCTATTTTGAGGTTCTTTGTGCCGCGCCCTCGGTCGCTTCCATTTTTGGGGCACGGAGCAGCTGACACCTGCCAGGTCTCTTCATCACTGAGCCCGCAGGCGGATGCCATGAAGGCTGGTGGAGGCCGGGAGCCATGTCCCTGTTAGATAGGGAGCCCGCAGCGGCCGTGACCGGAGCTCCGCGCCGTGCCAGCGCCGCTAGACACCCCACAGACACCAGCCCGCTATGAGCCCCCGCAGTGACAGCTAACACAGCGCTGGCCCTGTTCCATGTTCAGTCCATATTTACTGATTGACGGGGGGAAGTAGAGCCCTGTCCTCAAGCTGGCCTTCGGGCTGCCCTGGGGAAACTGTGGGGGAGCCACGAGCCAGGGGACCCCAGCATTTCACCTCCCTGCACTTCCGATTCGGCTTTGTCCCCCGGGGTGATTTCCATGAAGTGAGACGGTCGGTGGCCCTCACAGCCTCCTCTCGCCCCGCAGGGTGGAACGAGCTTCTGATCGCCTCCTTCTCCCACCGCTCGGTCTCCGTGCAGGACGGCATTCTCCTGGCCACCGGGCTGCACGTGCACCGGAGCAGCGCCCACAGCGCTGGCGTGGGCTCCATCTTTGACAGGTGTGTCTTCTGCGTCGTTGTGTGTGTGCCTCCGTATGTGCACGTGTGTATGCGTGCGTGCACGTGTGCTGTGGGCAGTGACGGGATGTGGATGGACAGAGCCCAGAGCCGCCCATGGCTAGAAGCAGAGACCAGGAGGCCAGTGAGAATGTGGGCCTGGAGGCTGAGGGAGGATTAAGAGAAAGGCTGAGACGGCGAGGTGGAGTGGGTCAGCGCCAGCGCAGTCGCGCGCAGATGGGTACCCGTGACCCCTATGGGTCCAGAGGAGAGGCTGGTGGTTGACATGACCTGCTAAGTTGGGGCCGGGGTGTTGACCTGCTTCTCCCCGGGGCAGGGATGGGCAGGGGCCAGGACTGGACCCGAGGAGTCCAGGCCGTGGTTTGCTGGGCTCTGTAGCAGGATCTCAGGTCAGGGGGTTCTGCGTCCTAAATGCTGCTGAGGGAATCAGCCGTGTGCTAGGGGGCAAGTGAAACGAGAGGTGAATGGCTCAGGTGAGAGGATGGAGGACAGGAGAGAGGAGGTCTCCGTCCAAGTGCAAGGCCCCCCTGGCCCCTGCCCAGCTCCATCACAGTCGGTCCGTGGCTGCGTGTTGTCCACCTCGTGTCTCCTCTCCTGTGTCATTCCTACCACGTGACATTCCCGCCTGGTCCTCTGTGGGCTCCGGCCCCGTCCTGGCCTGCGGGCTTCTCTGGTCACTGCGTGCAGTCCCGCCGTGTTCCCGGCACGCAGGCCCTCTGCTGGGCCTGTTGCATTTCTACTGATTTCCAACCCCAGGCTGCCTCTCCAGCCTGCGTCACCCGCCACTGGTGTGCCCTTGGGCTTGGCTATTGACGGCTCCTGGCTTTGTCTGGCTGCGTGTGCTTCCATGTCTGAGATCAGGGGCCGCACCTTCTCCCCTCCACGCCCTGGTCCCTGGTGCATCGTCTGGAAATGGGGCGGGTGCATAAGAGATGTTGCTCTCGCTCACTGTCCTGATCTCAACATCGCCTGCCGTGTTTCCTGGGAACAGAGTCCTGACCGAGCTGGTCTCCAAAATGAAAGACATGCAGATGGACAAGTCGGAGCTGGGGTGCCTGCGCGCCATCGTGCTGTTTAACCCAGGTGAGGCGTGGCGCAGCGCTCAGCCCAGCACTGGCACGCTGGGCCTCGAGCTCAGCCAGGACAGGGACGCAGGGCCAGGAGGCTGTCCCGGGTGGGGCACGGGGCCAGCTCCTCATGGCCTCCACTCCCAGCGCTGTCTTGGAGAATCCTGAGTGGGTGTGGGTGTTTGGGTCGGGGGAGAGGAGAGATGGCAGTGGCCTTGGGTGGCAGGGAGGGAGGTGGTCAGAGTCCGCATGGAATTTTAGGCAAAGCCCACAGGATTTGCCGATGGATTAGGTGTCGATGTGCTGATGTGGGAGGAAGAGAGGTGTTAGATATAGTTCTCAGAGCTGTTGGCTTCGTTTCCCTGAACAGGTGGGAGAGTGGAGTTCTCATTGATGGAGATAGGGCATGGGGCGGGGGGTGGGAACCAGGACTGTATTTGGCCTGGTGCCTGGAGGCTGGGGGAGAGGAAGATTCAGAAAGTGCCCGAGAAGGGACACCAGGGAGACAGGTGGGAGCAGCGAGGGTGTCCTGGTGGCCTGCAGGCAGGAAGAGGAGGTGTCAGGAGGGGCACGGCTTCCCAGACGCGTGTGGTGAGGGGGAGGGGAGATGGGCTCTGGGATCCGTAGTCGGCGCTCAGTTCACTGATGGGGACCTGGTCTCTGGCTTTGTACCATCTCATCATTGAGTCCATGCTTAGCGCACAGTAGGCCCACACGTGAAGGGACTGTTTCTGGAATGGCCAGATGAGGTAAAACTCCTGGGAGTCGGCCGTGGGCACCTGGGCCCCTGCAGTCTGGGGTCAGTGTTTCCCAGGTGCTCCCTCCCGTGGGCGTCTGGTGACTCCAGGGGAGCTGGCCTGCGGGGTGGGGCCGCCTCTGGGGAGGGCGTCCCCGGAGCTTAAATCGGTCATCTGTTCCAGATGCCAAGGGTCTGTCCAACCCCTCTGAGGTCGAGACCCTTCGGGAGAAGGTCTACGCCACCCTCGAGGCCTACACCAAGCAGAAGTACCCGGACCAGCCAGGCAGGTGAGGCGCTGGAGGCCTGGCCGTGACGGGTGCCCCGTCCGCACCGCACTGACGGGCAGTGGGCGGCAGGCACGGGCGAGATTGTTCCCAAATGGGACTTAATCTCCTCGGCGAGCTCAGGGGAGCAGAGCCCAGGCCGTGCCGACAGAGGCTCGTCTTTAAGCGCTGGACGCACAAGCACGTCCATGAATGGGTGGGTCTCATTATCTCTGATTTCTGACCAGTCACGGAGCTCAGAAAGGTCAGGAGCTGCCCAAGGTCACAGAGCTGGGGTGTGGGGGAGGGGGGGTGCAGGGGGGGTGGGGGGGGATGGCTGGACAGGAGCCCAGGCCTCCCTGGTGCCAAAGGGCTGGGATTGCCAGGGACCGCATTGTCCCGCCTGCCCTGCACCCCCTGCCTGAGCCAGCAGAGGTGACCTTGGTCCCTGGCTGTCCCTGAGTGCTGGTCTGGGCCGGGCTCCTTGTCTGAGAAGGACGTGGCCAGGAGCTCTCAGACCGCTTGGCCGTCGCCCATACAGGTCTTCCCAGGCCATTAGACTATGTTCTCAGATGTTTCCCCCAAAGCACAGCTAAGTGAAAGTTCCCCTCCTCAGCCAGCTCACAGCTCAAATCTCACAGGAAACTGAAAGCAAAACCTGAAAAACTGCCTTGAAGACATTAGTTTTGGTTTTAGCATTACTTTTCTAGGCTCCCAGTTCTCGCAGTGACGGGGTGAGGGTTGATTTCTGCGAAGCCATTTTCCTGGGTCCCCCGCCAGTTCCTGCCCGCTGTCTGCGGGAGACTGTGAGTCGCCCCGAGCGGTGGGCCTCAGCCAGTGGGCACAGTAACGGGCGTTAGGGTGGGTGAGCCAGGCCGCAGACCTCCCAAATGCCACCGGGGAGCAAAACCCAGGCTCCATTCTTACTCTTGAATCAGTCCCCTGGGCACGACGGGGCTGAGAGAGGGGACTCTGCACACCCCACCCGGGCCCAGCTGCTTCCTTCCTGCTCCATGCACCCCAGAACCAGAGGTGGGGCACCGTGGGCAGCCCCTCCCTCTGGAAAGACCCCTCCCTGCACTCACTTCCATTGGTGAGAACTTGGTCACCTGGCCACCGAGTGCCATAGCCACAGAGGGAGGGCAGGGGGTTGGCGGACTCCTGGCGTCTCCTGCCGCAGGTGAGATGAAGGGCCCAACACCAGGCCTGGTGCCTGTGCCCTCAGCCCCGGGGAGGCGTGGCGTGTGGGGATTCTGCTGAATCCAGCCCTGAGGCAACCTACCCGTTCCTGAGCACACACTGTGTGCAGGCGTTGGGAGAAGCTTAGAATGGCTCTAGTCGTGTCTCTATCTTAAACCAACCAACCAAAAAACAAACAAATAAACGAACAACTACCCCCAAACCCAACAACAAAAGACAATGCCCAGAAAACCAAACCTTGCCTTTTCCTTATTATAAAAGCAGAGCAAGCTTTGGTAGGAAACAAGGGAAACGTTTTTAAAACATAAGACAGGTAGTAAACGTTGGTTGTAAATTTTGGGGTATGTTTCCTTCCAGTCTCCTCGTGTAGACAAGGAGCATTTACAGTCTGAAGCTGCACAGCCTGGCGGGCTCTCTCCCTCCCAAAGCCATTCCGGTGTTTCATCAAGTGTTAAAAAACCACATCGTCGCTTCGGACGGCTTTGTAGGATTTCACGAGGGGGGTGTGGTGGGGGGCGGGAGTGTGTTCTGACTCGCTTGGCATTCCGGCTGTTTCTAATGACTGTCACTTAGAAAATGCTGCCACTTGACCGTTTTTCCCAGAAGGGGCTGCCTGGGGCCTGGGCTTGGGCAGAGCTGGGGAGTTCAGGGAGGGGTGCAGAGGCTGGGCCCCTGGGCGTCCCTGGGGTGCGGACACACAAGGTGACCACCCTGAGGCTGAGCAGCTCCATCAGGGATGGCCCTGGGCTCAGCCAGGTAGGAAAGTGCTGAGGTGCCTCTGGTTTGCAGAAACGGGTGGAGGGCATCCAGGGGCGGGAGGCCTGGCTCTCAGTGGTGCAGTGCTGCCACCCTGTGGACGCTTCAGAACACACGCCACCGGCCTCGCTCCAACCTCCAGGCTGGCTCTGGAGGCGGGACAGTAGGCAGACCCCTGGCTGTGACTGTGAGCCTCTTAGTTCCATGGTCCCCACCTCAGCTCCAACATCCAGGACAGACGGCAAAGGGAGCCATAGCACAGTATCTCCTGTAAAACGGGCATTTCTAGAGTAAAAAAGCATTTCCTGAGTTCGTCTAAGTGCACTTTATAGAGAAGCCGTGTCCTTTCCCAAATTCTATAAAAGCCTCTGGTGCGGCCACCCGGCTCAGCCTCCCCCTTCACCCAGCCCAGTGGTCGGCAAACTGCGGCTCGCGAGCCACATGCGGCTCTTTGGCCTCTTGAGTGTGGCTCTTCCACAAAATAAATACCAACTTCTGCGCATGGGCCATGAAGTTTCAATCGCACTGTACGTGCGCGCCCGCACGTGGTATTTTGTGGAAGAGCCACACTCAAGGGGCCAAGGAGCCGCATGTGGCTCGCGAGCCAGTTTGCTGACCACTGACCCAGCCGCTCTTCGCCACACGCAGCACCTTTCACACGCGCTCGACGCCGTGTGACCAACTTCGGAAGGTTTGTGTCGGCCTTGGTACAGACCTCCGTTTTTCCATGTAGAGAAGCAGCTGGTGCTGTTCTATTTTTCTATGTTGACACATTTCCTTGTGGCATGAACACAGAAACATACATGTTTCCAGGATGCTAAAATTCCATTTGAACTCTTCTCATCGGACGTGTCCCCTTTAAGAATAACCTCCCCTCCAGCCTTTTCTGCCGCCCCCTGGGGTTAGGTTCTCTGGTGCCCGCATCCCTGCCAGGCTCCCTCTTCCATCACAGGTGCCCAGAGGACGGACCCTGGCCCTGCCCCTGGGCTGTGGGGGGTCCTGACCCTCCCGGTCTCCGCAGGTTCGCCAAGCTGCTGCTGCGCCTGCCCGCCCTGCGCTCCATCGGCCTGAAGTGCCTGGAGCACCTCTTCTTCTTCAAGCTCATTGGGGACACGCCCATCGACACCTTCCTGATGGAGATGCTGGAGACCCCGCTGCAGGTCACCTGAGCCTCCGGCCGCGCCTCCCGCCCGGCGGAGCTCTGGGCAGGTGTGTGGGGACCCGTCCTGCCCACGCCCCTCCACGTCCCACCGACCCCTTCCTGCCCCTGGAATGTGATGTTTATAATAAAGAAGCCTTTCTACGCACAGGCCTTCGGGTGGAGTTTTGAAAGTCAGAGGACAGCCTTCTTGCTCTCTAAGGGGCGGGACCTTTCCGGAAGTTCTTGGAAAGCTAACCCGGCCTCTGTGCATATGAGTGTTCGCATTACTTTTCACTTCCCACGGAAAGCGAACGGACGAGTAATGACCTCACACATCTGACCCCCGTGGTGCTGGAGCGAACCATCCCAGAATTGGGAGCAATGCCCGGGTCGGGCGCGGAGTGGCTGGGCCCGAGGGCAGCCCCTGCAGAGATTGGGAGGAAACCCTGTGTTTCAGAATCACAGGGTTTTTCTGCTTGTTTTTTCCTCCTAAGAATAATAAGCAGACAGAGCCTGGTCTGAGGGGCGGGTGGGGGGGGGGGGTCAAGTATAAGGCCAAGCAAAGATGGTCTCTTGACGGGGAAGTGTCTTGGGCAAGACCAGAGTCCACCCACTTTAGTTTCCATTATTACCTAACCCCGCGTCACCTGCTCTTAGAGGGGAAAGAGAGAGACCCTCCCAGCCTCTCGCCCTCACAGCCCTACTGTGTGCAGACCTGTGCTCCCGGAGGGCAGGGGGCGTCGGCCTGATGTCGCAGGGGCCTCCCCCGCCCAGCTTCCCCAGGGCACCCCGCACCTGCAGGAGCCAGGGCTGGGCTCCAGTCACAGCTCCTCGGGGCACGCAGCCCTCCTGTCTCCGCGGCTGGCCAGGCGACTGAGGCGGGGTTGCCACAGCACTTCAAAAATATAAATCTTTGTTTCACTATGGTTGCAAGTATCAAAAAATTTCTATATGTGACACGGCACCAGAGTTAAGTTAGGGTTTTCAAAATGCTGACACGCCGAGCTCAAAAGGTTCGCCATCACGGGTAGGGGATTCCTCCTCAGCAATTTCCCTGACTTCCCTTTGTCTGCTGAGCAGTGGCTATCACCAGGGGACAGTGCTGCTGTCCCACCTCCCGCTCCTCGAAGGTTTGGCCACATCTGAGGATGCCACACTGGGCAGACGCAGGGGCAGAGGGCACGGGTGCTGCTGCAGGGCTACGTGTGCGACAGTCCCCACCACAGCGCCCCCACGCGGCAACAGCGCGGGATGGGAGTCTGCGCACAGCTTCGTGAACGGGCAGAAAAGGAAGGGGTTCCTCTTGCTTGGGAATCTGGCTAAAGCCCCAGGTGAGGCCAGGAGGCCCCTCACGCTCCAGACAGGAACCGCTAGATGCACCCACACAGGACCCAGGGACATCACGCGTGGATTCTGTAATCGTCCCTTCTTCACTTACTAGCATATCCACAGAAGGCTCAGGTGTAAGGAGAGAATTGCCAAGAACAAAGGGAACTCGGGCAGAGCGGTGGCTTTCCCCACCCCGGGGCCCAGGAGGAGGGAGGGAGCCCCGTCCCCCAGTCCCCAAGCCAAATGGGGCTGCGACGGAGCCGCACAGGGCTGGTCGGGGCTCCTGCGGGAAGGGGAGGCTGGTGTCTCCTGGCTGGAGGCTTCTCAGAGCCCCGAGGGGAGTGGGGGGCCTGCGGGCACAGGGCCCCATGCCCCTCCTGACCGGGATCTCTGAAGACCAGGGCCACCTTGAGGGTGAGGCGGGCAGGGAGAGGGCAGCAGTGACTGTCCCCACGCCCGCCTCGTCTGGCCAGGACTGGCATCTCCCGAGGACCAAGCTTAGAATATCTGAAGGTACCGAGCCCAAGGGGATGTCCTGCCGGACCAGGGGCCAGCCCGCCGCAGTCAGGCCGGGGGTGGGACTGCTGTGCACAGTGACTAAGGGGTCAAGCAGAGGTTGCTGTCGTATCAAACACCAGGTGAAGGAGGGCATGCGGTGCCCACAGCAGATGCCTGTGCCCTTCCCTCGGGGCCTGAATAGCTCACCTGGGCCCCTAACCAGAGCCGCCGGGTGGGGACTTGCTGTGTGAAAGGCACGCTCACCCGCTGGCCCCCCTCTTCCTCCCCACCCCGCCCACTGCCCATGGCGTCACTCAGGCGTCCTTCCTCTCCCACCGGACTGCCGTCCCTGCTCGCCCCCACGTCAGCTCAAAGCCACATCTCCGGACTCTTCCTGATGCTCCTTCTGGGTGTCGCTGGGACACCCCCCTTTCTCCCCTGGGGGAGGGGCGTCAGACCCGAAGAGGAGGAGAGCGGGGAGAAGGGGGAGAGAGAACTGCCCACATCCCTCCTGGGGCAGGTCCCGGGCCCGGGCAGGCCCACAGGCTGAGGCTTTGCAGTCGATGTGAGATGGAAGTTTGGATGCGACTGGACGTTTTCACTGGGGGCTCTGAGCTCTGCCCGGGGTCTTAGCCTCAGGGAAGGGGCAGGATACTGCGGACCAGGCTCGGAGGACGCGGCCGGGAGAGAGGGAGCCCGTGCCTGTCCGTGTCCCGCGTCAGATGTCCACACGCCAGCTGCACTCGTCAACGCAGCCACAGGCGCCCCCGACTGTCTCCCTCGGCACAGCCCCTCACCCTCCGAGTCACTCCCACGTGCTCCAGGCAGGAGGCCTTGGGCGGCTGTTCAGCGGCAGTGACTGTGTTTGTCTTCTGAGAACCCCAGGCTTTTCCGCAGGGAACCGAGCTCTCCAGGGCTGGGCCCCCCAAACTCGCCGCTTCCTCTTTCTTACCCCTCCCTGGGCACGCTCACCCGCTGGCCCCCCTCTTCCTCCCCACCCCGCCCACTGCCCATGGTGTCGCTCAGCGTCCTTCCTCTCCCACCGGACTGCCGTCACTGCTCGCCCCCACGTCAGCTCAAAGCCACATCTCCGGACTCTTCCTGATGCTCCTTCTGGGTCATTTTATCTTCATGTGGTGCCTCCATTGACAAATTATTCTCCAATGACAGCTGAGACTCAATATTGTGTTCGTTTCTGGTGTACAGTGTCCTGGTTAGACAAACCTTACGAGGGTCCCCGGGTAAGTCGCGAGCTCCCCTGGCGCCATCCGTGTTATTAGAATGTTACTGGTCACGTCCCCAGGTGCCTCTGTTTTGAACGCTGGTTTTGCATTAGGACTAGTTGGTCATCCTGCCCACGTTACTGGTAAACCCCCTGGCAGCAGGGGTCTGTCTGCTTCTGAGTGTCCCTCCCTCGCCCCCCCCCGCCCCCCGCCAGGCCAGGCAGGGAGACCGGCTCGCAGAGGAGCCGCTGTCGCCTGAGGAAGGAGGGACAGCAAAGCCCATCCCAGCCTGGGAGGGCCGCTTTCACCCTCCGTGGACACTGACAGTGCAGCGCACGCGGCCAGCCCGGCCACACTGCGGGGCCAGGTCAGGAGGCTCCTCCATCCACGCAGGGCGGGTGAGGGTGACCGCCCTGCCCCAGGGGACCCTTGGGCCAACCTTGCTGGGCTCGAGCGCCCTCTGCCGCCAGCCCGGGGCGTCACGGGCACCTTCCTGGGAAAGCAGCCTCCGAGCCTGACATGGAGAACACCCGGCTGACCGCCCTGTCGCTTTTAGGAAAGACCTGCAGCAGCACCTGTGTCCAGGGAAAGACACCAGAGGCTTCCGCTTTAATGAAAAAGGCGCAAAGCACGCGCAGCTTTGGCATCCCGGCCTCACGGGCAAGTGGCGCCAGTGCACCTGCGTGATTTCTGTCTCCGCAGCCGAGCACCTACTGCCCGCGGCGCCCGCGGCCTGTGCTGTTCAGGCTGCCTGTGTTATTGGGGTGGTCTGGCTGGTTATTTGGGGGGCTCTGAGCTCAAAATGCT